CTTAGTAATATAAATACCCCTTCCCGACCACCTAGGAAAAACGTTTATTCACCCTAAGGTATTCCACTAATAATTATAATTTTGGATATAAATGAGATTTAGGGAAAGACTCACTTATTTCCTGCAACTAGTAATCAATAGAAACATAACCGAATAGCTTTAAATAAAGAATAATAGAGGTATAATTTATTTATAATAGGTAATATAGTTCGAAATATTTAATAATCTATGGGTCCTCCTTTATTTTGAATGACCTTTTCAACCCTTTTTGGCATTGACTTGATTAGGTTCTGGCAAATCTCATCTCCAAACATTGAATTCCATTCGGATATGAAATTCACAATCAAATCCTCAATTGCTTTCTCGAGAGCCTGTACTTTATAATGCTCCATAAGTTTTCTATGGGGTTAAGGTCAGGAGATTGGGGTGGCCATGGCATAACACTCACCTGCTTCTCGTCAAAGTATTCCTTCATCAATTTTGATTTGTGACAAAGAGCATTATCCTGCATAAAAATGAGCTTGGTGGGGTCGATTTGCACCCTTTCAGCAGAAGGGAGCAGGCAAGACTCTAAAATTATCTTGTATTGCTCGCTCCTGAGGGTCCTTTTAATAGGTTTTAATATACCAGTTCCATGCAAAGTAAAGCATCCCCAGAACATTATACTAAACGAATGCTTGACAGTACTTACTGCAAAATTCAAAGAGCTTTCAGAACTTCTTCGGATTTTAGATCGCTTATCCTTTGAATTTAGCTCAACTTTTGTTTCATCGGAGAAGAGAACATTCTTCCAGTCTTCTACGGTGAAATTTTTGTAATAGTGAGCCCATTCAAGTCTCTTGGCTTTGTTGGCTTTGCTTATTAGCGGCTTAAACCATCGTGTACAATATTTGTAGCCTTGTTCTAACAGCCATTGACGGACTGTTGAAGAGGCAAGACTAACACCTTGCTCTTCGCTTAGACTTGCTGCAATTTCTTGGCTAGTTATAGTCCTATTCTTCGCAACTTCTCTCTTGATTACCCTGCCAGTTCTGTCATCAATCTTTTTTTTTCGTCCCTTTTCAATATTTTGTCAAAAGCTCTTTAAATTTACTAGTTTAATCATTAGAATGCGATATCTGAGTTTTTTCCGGAATCTCATTTATATCCAAATTTATAATTATCAATAGAATACCTTAGGGTGAGTAAACATTTTTCCTAGGGGGTCGGGAAGGGGTCTTTATATTAGTAAGATTAAAAATTATTTTAACTCCAAAAACAATAGACAAAAAATATTTTTAGTAACAAATTAGGTGAGTCGCCTTTATTGAGCAGCACTATATATATATATATATATATATATATGTGTGTGTGTGTGTGTGTGTGTGTGCGTGTGTGTGTGTGTGTGTGTGTGTATAAAATGTTTAATGATAAAACGCATTGTCAATAAAAAGGTTTACATCTTTGATTTCTTCATCTTTGTTCGGATTCGTAATACTACCAACACACACCCAAACAAACAAACACACACACACACACACACATATATATATATATATATATTAAAACATGTTTCATGGAATAATGTAGAGATATTGTGTCTACTTATTTTTATTATAATCATTTCCTGTTCTCTAATGATGTTTCTTGGTGTTAATATGAAGTCTATCAAGGAAGGCGACTTAGTTTTTTCAAACCCAAGTAGTTCGATCTTTTCCAAGATCATCTTCAGGAAGAAATTATTGTAACTGCGATAAAATCTCGCTCTGTTAAAGTCAGTCTAGAAATGTTAAATTTACCACTTGTAGTCATTGATTATTTTTTTGCTAAACAAGCCTTTCAGTCTAAAGGAGGTGACCAGTAATTGGTAGAAATGTAAAATAGCATTAAATATTAATATGTTGTTGCTATATACGTTATAAATTTTGTTGAGTGTTGTTTGGCTGATTTTGATGGACCTCAAAAATCTGAAGCCTTTGTAACTTAGCCCCGAAGAATATCAAAAAACTGATTAGACAGCTGGAATGGATCAGTATAAAAATAAGTAGACACAATATGTCTATATTATTTAATGAAACACATTTGACTGAAGATAACCTATCTGAATGCACACACAAAATGCATATATATATATATATATATATATATATATATATATATATATATATATATATATTATATTGATGCATGTTTCATTAAATAATATATGTCTATTTATTTTAAGCAATTACCTTTCATATTGTTTGATAAGCAATATGACACTATGAAAGGAACTTAAAATAGACAAAACTTGTCCTATAGTATTGAAACATGCATCAATGAGAAATTGTTGCCTATATATATATATATATATATATATATATATATATATATATATATACTCACACACACACACCACGCAAACACACACACACACACACACATATATATATATATATATATATATATATATATATATATATATATATATGAGTGGTTAGAACGTTCACTTTCTGACCATGAAACCCAAGTTCTAATCTCACCATGTTCGATTTTCCAGCTTGCGATACATTTGAAAAGTGCCTGAAAACAACACCATGGGTTGACCTAAGCCTTTTGAGTGAAATTGGGTCGACGCAACTCTTTGGGAAACTATCGACGGCTGTGCTAACACAAAGTCACAAGTCATCGTGACCGAGGCTTTGAGCGTTCTAGCCTTGTACAAACTGTACACTGCATAACACGCTCTTTCCCAGAAACTGTAACTAAGTTCCGCTTGGTATAGTTGCGGCATAAACCACAGGGGGTCTCTGTGGGTGTTGAGGAAGCACAAATGCGCCTGAACAGGGATTGGCTAACCGCCCTAATGGACGGGCAACACTGGATACGAGAGGCCAGCCATTTTATATGGAGAAAATGCAATAGCAAAAACAATTTACATCACCTAGCGTCCTCTATAATTATTTTTAGAATATTTTAGAGCGTTTTCTAATTCAAGGTTTGAAATTTTAACGTTAATTTATTTTTCTCCATGTTACTTCTGCCTATAAATACAGATTACTAAATAAGATTTTTACACTTAAAACGTTCCGCAAGGATCGAAACGTGTTGGCATAAAAGGTTTTCTTCTTGTCTTTTCTTTTATCTATAGTGTCTTTACATATATATTATTATCTGAATGTTTTTATATGTGTATGTGGACGATGTTTCAGAATGGATACTGCGCTCAGTGTCACACCAGAATATCAGGGAGACGGCGCTTCGGTTGATTGGCCCGAGGATTGATCTGCATGCTATTAGGTGCAGATTTGTGCTTCAGTTAAATATCAGTGACTGCACCCGACATGTGAGCGTGAGGTCGACCAGGTGTGCGCCAAGGTCTGTGTACGTGGGAAGTGAGCCGTATGATAGGTAGATATATAAAGATCCAACCAAGAAGGAAAAAGTATTAGGTTGGTGCAAAAATAATGACGTAATAATGTCGTTTTTTGACGTTAAAAAATACGTCAAAAAACAACATTATTACGTCATTATTTTTGCACCAACCTCATAGTACCTCACTTACGTCCTGTCCTCGACGCTAAACACCCACTGGCCGACGGAGTTTGATGGAGTCCATGGATTAATAAAAAATAATGTTACGTACGAGAGAATCACTCTGGTATTTTTCTTACTAATGAATGACAATAAGCCTAAAAACTGCAAAATATAATTCCGTATGATTTCATTTAAAATCATTACTTACCAATCTGTTTCTTAATAGTTATTTGGGACTCATCAGCATTGCACATCCATTACCAAGAATCAAACCCGGACCTTAACGATACAACGCAAGAGGCAAAGCCACTGGACCAACAAACCTCGGTGACAAAGAGGTAACTAACTAGATTCGATATAAGCGCCGCTCACACTAAATTCCGCGGTGTAACGCATATGCAAATATACTTAACACAACAGATTGTGGCCCCAAGAGCCACGTCATCTTTCCCTAAGCAGCTCCCTCCAGGGCATTAGAAGCCTGTTCAAGGAAAGATATGCAATTGATAGAATTTTTTTGCGTCGTATCGTAACGGTCCGGCTTCGATTCTCAGTAGCGCATGCGCACTGCTGACGTTTCCCAAAATAGGACGAAACAGCCCCTGAGTGATTTCTGCATTCTGTTGAGGATTCTTTTTACATCCGACATATTACTTTAATTTGAATGTATATATATATATATATATATATATATATATATATATATATATATATATATATATATATATGTGTGTGTGTGTGTGTGTATAATATACATATATACAGACTCTAAATTTTCTCGAACGTTATACAGTGAACATTTTAGATTTAAATTCAGTTCATAAATAAAACTTATTGATATCATTTCTTTTTATCCGTGAAGGCGCCAACCGTTGCGCAGTCTTTAGTTGTTCTCTGTCGTAGCGTTTCAGTTATATAGTGATCATTATTTACACATGCTGTTTCACTACTAAATCTATAAATTAAATTTCCTTCTTCAGAATTAATGGTTACCGATGAGGTTAGAAACCGGTCCGCCTATTTTATAATCTCTGTAAAGTTACTACTTTTCCCCGGCTGTATCTGATTAGTCATCCATCCTGTATTACAACCTCTGAAATGCGGTAATAGCAAGATTTGTGATCCGTATCGATAGTTAATCAAAAGCCCTCCTACCAACCCCAACCTGCAGTGCGATTGATTTTTTTCCATTAGTGGTTGCTCATCTCGTGCCTTGAAGCTTACTGGCTAGTGGCGTCCAAGAACGCAGCCATAATCTCGTCCGTTGCGAGACGAGCCGTTACTCGGGGGCAACTTGTAGTTCATATCCTACGGAAAGTTTGTGTCTGGTGATCAGGGAGGAAAGGAACAGGAGAGGGGGGTTTGCTCTGTCGACACAGAGACGGTCGCAAATAGGAAATTATCCTAATGGGTTGATTACCACAGCGGGCGAAGCTCAACTTCAAACAAATGAGGTGGTGTGTGCAGGAATTTGGTTGTAATGACTGTGAAGTTTCAATCCAGAGATGTTCTATCATTTCACGAGGAGCGCAAATTATGATGACGACCGCTTCAAAGGGAAAAAGCGGCGGGACTTTATGATCCGGGCCACCATTAAAGAAAGATGTCTGACGTTCTGGCGACAGGAATTCAAACAGACGCGCCTGTCGATCGACGCAGACAGACGGTATTAAGGGTTGATTCATTTCTCAATGCAATTGTTCAAAAGTGAGCTTAAATAGGCAGCGGAAAATTTTAATAATTTACTCCAAACTTTCAAATCTGAATTAACATACAATTAAACACATACACCCACGCATTCACATCGATATAAATATGAACATACATAAGTATATGAAACCATACGTAAAATATACAAATATTTTATACAAATTCATGTACACATATAATAAAGAGACACATATACACCCACAGATATATAGTTGTGTATTTGGGCAGCAATCTCATTTTAATACATGTTTCATTAAACAATACTATCAAAGTACATTTGTTTATTTTTTTTATTAGATTATTAAATAATAACAAAGGCAATAAACTAGATAAAAAAGACACATAATATAAACTATCTTTTCTCCTTTTTATGTGCCGTGTCCCTTCAGGACGTAGGCGATCATAGCTCTCCACTTCTTCCCATCTCTTGTCGCTCTCAATAAGTTTTATATCTTTGCTACTTCCTCCAGACCATGTTCTGTCATCCACTTGTTTAAGACCGCCAAGTATGTCATGCGTTGCTTTCTCTTTTTCTCTTTCTCTCTATTCGACCTGTGAGTATCAGATTCTCCAAGCCGTCCTTTCTCATCACGTGTCCCGGAAATTTCATCTGCCTATCCTTGATGTTAAGTATAAGCTTCCTCCTTGTTTGCATCCTCTCCAAAACCTCATTGTTTCTCACACTCTCGGTCTATGATATCCTTAGCATCCTTCTGTAGAACCTCTGTTGCCTCGAGTATCTTCTTCTTCCTTGAGGAGACCGTCCAACATTCACTGCCGTAAAGGAGCACAGATGTTACGTAACGGGTCAGTACACTTTTCTTTGTTACCAATCCATCTTCAGATCTCAGCGTCGCACTTACCGTCCTCCGTCAGAACACTTCCCAGATATTTTAAATTTCCGCACCTGTTTGATTTTTAGTGTCCCAGACCTGTAAATCGTATTTCGAGCTCATCTGTTTACTGATGATCAGGCATTCTGTATTATTGCACATTATGCTTAGACCCTTCTCGTTCTCCTTTGCTAGCATCTGTAGGAGGTTTTGTAATTGTTTTTTCCGTATCTGCTATCAGAACTGTGTCGCCTGCGTATGTAATGTTGTTATGATTGTGGCTGCCAATTATGAATCTCGGTAGGATTTTCAATTCTCTCAGAAATGCCTCGCTGTAGAGGTTGAACAGGTCAGGAGGTGGAAAGACACACATCCTTGCCTTACGGCCCTTTCTATTTTTGTAAATCTGCCGAACTCATGTTCTATCCGCATGCAGGCCATTTGCTGCCAGTATAGGTTCTTGATTATTCTAATGTCTTCCCCAAATATATCAATGTTGCTGAGCAGTTCCAACAGATCTTTGTAGCGTATTTTTCGAATACTTTTGCGTCATCTATAAAAAAAAGATAAGATTCCTTCTGCATTTATATCGCTCTTTCTGATAACATTTTGAGCATGAATACCGCATTTCTTTTTTCGGTCTCTTTAACGAACCCGCACTGTTCTTGTCCTATCTATGGCCTAATCATGCTGCGTACTCTATTTAACAGAATACGAATGATGAGTTTTGTTATGTAGCTCATTAGGTTGATTGTTCGTTGGAGTTCAGTCCTCTTTTCTTTGTTATCAACAAAATCCTCTTGTCTCGGAATACTCTGCCTAGCTTTTGGAATGCGTCTTTGGCCATCCCAATACGTCCTCAGATCTCAGCGTCGCACTTACCATATTCTGTCAAAACACTTCAAAGATATTTAAATTTCCGCACTCGCATGATTTTAGTGTCACTGACCTGCAAATTGCATTTTGGGTTGATCTTTTTACTGCTGACCATGCATTCTGTGTTGTAGTTTATGCTTAGTCCCGTCTTCTTGCTCCCCTTAAGAGCTTTTGTAATTTCTTTTCCGTGTCTGCTATCAGCACTGTGTCATCTGTGTATCTTATGTTGGGTCAACGGGTTCAAATCCGACTTCTGCAAGTGGATTAGGCTCCTGTATCGCACCCCCGGAATAGCAGGACAGACTGGACTCATTTGCCTTGGTTGGTAACTAGCCTACCGCAGAAAGAAATGGCCACCTACTGCGGGAAAAAAACTTCTGCCTCGTCAGTCATGTATCAAAACATGCATGATCGCCCAAGCGTGTATCACGTGTGGCACATAACTGACTGCAACACAGACGTCTTAGTGGCTTTATTTTCTTTTTTGGCAGTGATATGATTAAATATATATATATATATATATATATATATGTGTGTGTTTTAATCATATCACTGCCAATATATATATATATATATATATATATATATATATATATATTCAGAGGCGACACGCTGTTTCATGCGAAACTCAATCGTCAGGCGACTTGACGATTGCGTCTAGCATGAATAGCCTGTCGTTTTCTGCCTGTTGACTTCAATGTTCACTTTAATATTAACATACGCTCTATCTCTCATA